ACCCGATTGTCTCGATGTTATTAGCGAATCATGGCATCGGTTCGTGGGAACGATGATCGAGCAGGGCTGTATCGATGTTCGATCTCAGCAGGGAATTTTGTTCGATTTTGATTCCGAATGAAAAGGGAAAAGTGAAAGCTGGTGCAGTAGGTTTGCGCCTGCTCATTTGCATTAGCAGATAAATAATTATTGCGTTTACCACTAATGGGTTTACAGCATTTTCTGCTTGGAATGGCCTAATGGTAGACTGCTGATAATGCTTTTAGCATTGAATCTAGAATAATCTTTTAAATCGCTTTTCAAAGAAAATGCAGTTTACTCCTTTAGTAACATCGAATATTTTCTTGGCTCACTTAAATGAGGTCTAATGAAGAATTCGCACCATTGACATACTGACAACAGCTGACTATTATTATAATAGAATTCATAACTTTAGCCTACTTGACGTTTAGATTTCACGTTTCTTTTGAATATATTAGATACTACCTACTTTATAGTCCCTTAAAATGCAAATTGTTATAAGCTAGCCATCGCTGTCCATCGCCATCCATATCCTGAACGGACATAAGTAATTCTTACACCATTTCTAATGTATCAACCAGCTTTTTAATCTCATTAAGTCGAGCCAATCTTAAGCATGGCACATCCCTGCCCTCTGGCGTCTCAAATGATTCTCGATTCGGGACCGCTGTTAGATGCGATCTGATATGCCGATTTGAAACGTCACGAATGTCAAATGTTAGTTATCTCCAGTTATCGGAACGGGACCGTTAGCGGAGATTGTTAGACCAAACGCCTGAGGCTGTAACTCAAGTTACAAGTTCTGATTTTAGGATCCAGATAAAATTTACGGCGCTGACTTCTCAATGATGGCTGGATTTATTGGATTTTGAAGGCTGTTTGATGAAACAAATCAAATTAATCAAACTTGTTGATCGATATATTTATAAGCCTCTGGGATAAGCTTACAGAATGTGACAGTTGTGATTCAGAAATTACTTCGCTCCGGCGTTTCTTTTCGCTCTTTCCGTGAAGCGATTTCAAAATTCAAACTGTCACTTATTGTAACTTATCTAAGGATGCTGTTGCTTCAACGAAAATTACCATATTTCTTATTGGAAATATAAGCATTGAGTACCTAAATGAAATGACGATGGCTGCAAAGGCATAAAGCAAGCTAACCACTTAGCGCTCCTGGAAGTTAAACCTGTGATTTATAGATATTAAAACTAACGCAAATACTTTAGCACTTCCGGTGTATTAACTAGTACATATTTAACATTTCGAAGTTAAGCACTTTCAATTAAAATTACTCTACGTTGGTCCTTATTAAGAATATTAAATTGAAGTGAATTTAGTTTTGCAAAATGGAATTAATTCAAGCTTTTCTTATCAAAAAGGCCAAACAAAATGTAAAATATTTTTTATTATTTCACTTTGAAATGTTCTTGAAAATGACCCGAATACACCAAAAGCCTGTAATTTCTCTAAAAATAATTACTTATTCCCTACTAGATGGACCGACGACCTGGTGAAGGTCGCTAGAAGAACCTGGATGCGGACGGCGCAGGACCGGTCGTTATGATTTGGGGAGGCCTTTGTCCAGCAGTGGACGTCATTTGGCTAAAGCGAACTAATGAAAAGTGATTGATTCCTGCATCCCACCTAGTTATATCTCTTTAACATCGTACCTTCAGAACATTTCAGTTGTGAATCAACCTTATAGCAGGCCTGTTCATCTCCGCGAGTTTACATTGAAAACAAAACACGCACGATGGCCCACCTACAGGATACTATTCGACAAGGCCTCACATACGAGCGAACATTGACTCACGCACGCGTATTCTTGTGTATGATGGAAGAAAATAAATAAAATGGTGTACTAAATACTGTGCAGTATTTAACTGCCTAAATAATAATAAAAACACAGAATGTACTTTTTTAAGTGGCCTCAAGCAAGACACTGAGAGGTAAATAAGTAGTTAATATTATTCATGATTATTCATGCTAAATCATGTATTTCCTCCGCCATTTTCCGCAGTTTGGCACCTCACGTCACATCATTTTACCGAAGTCAGCCCTATAGCTTCGGCGCAGTGCCGATCACTGACGTTTCTCAACAAAATGGTGCTTGACTCTTGAGACAAGCTAAATTACACCATATTGTTAATGACATTGAGCATACATTTTTTTAAATACCTTCGCGAAGTAAAACTTCTGTACGTAGTACTTATTATTATTCTGTGCTTATAGTTCCAAAAGAAATGGGATTCCATGTTTTAGCGGGCACTATAACTGTCGATCAGACACCAGCAGACACCTATGACCACTCATAAAATCTAACATCAGGGTTGCAACTACCAACTACTTGTTACAACCTATAAAACAGTTTAACTTTCCCCGGGACAACTTGACCTTCACTGGTTGGGTTTTTATTGGCGGTCAAGCTGTAGATCCTGGCTACACAGGAGTTGCAGTAGTGGTGGGAATGAGAGGTGGAAGTAGTAATTTAAAAACCTATAAAACAGGCGTGAGATAAAGAGGTCAGTAAGTGAATAGTTAGGCCCAGAACAGACGGTGAAACGCAACTGCAACGAAACTGCAACCGCTAGTTTCTTTTGAGTTGCATCTAAGTTTCTGCCATAGCGACCGTTGAGAGACCACACATGACGCGACCAGTTTGAAACTTTCAAACTACTACAACTAGCAGTTGCAGTTTCGTTGCAGTTGCGTTTCACCGTTTGTTCTGGGCCTTAAACACAAGTTTGTCACAAGATGGAACAGAACAGAGAGAATTGTGACAAAAGACTCATAAGTCATAATGTAAAGTATCCTCGTTTATAACATAGCTTAAATTATCTAACCCATAATTCAGCAATCGCCTTGTAATTTTGTTATAGGTACTATATCAACTGAGAAATTATTGAAGCAGTTGGTTTCACCATTTCACCGTAATAAACAAGTGAATAACTATAAGTGTAATAATTTTCTCACGCCCACTTATTAACTTATTGATCTATTATTCATAATGTCTTGACGCCTCGGATATAATTAGTGCATCCAGTCGGCAAGTAGGCCAGAGATTTCTTCAAGTAACTTTCTTGTCAAGTAGTAAGTATAGGCCGGTTTGTATAAATCTGTCTGGGACCCTTGATACCATTCGAATGTTAATCGATAGAAAATGTTGAGATTTTAATGATTAAAATGTCATTTATGATTGAAGTAAATATCTAAGGTACACAACGCCCACGTGGTCTAGATGTGGGAAGCTGAACACACATAATTTCCCTCATTTCCTGCACAGAATCGTTAGTATTTAGCAACTACAAGTATTATTATGAATTAATTCAACCAAGGTAAAGTCCCTATATGCTCTAATATTTAATTTGAAACCATCATAAGCTTAAATATATGTTTGAATTTTAATCTGATTTGCAATGTGCACATAGCAGTGGGGAAAAAGCACAAATTCATCACTCTTAAAGCTCACACGAATGCTCATCCCCTTCATTCCTTCAATAAGCTTCAGGAAGACTTCATACGTGTCATGTTACCGCACTTATAATGATATAAATAGGTACCTATGCATTTAAGAATCAAAATGTCATAAAGCATCACTTACCATCAGGTGAGATACAGGCCAAGAGCTTCCTCGTTGTGGATTAAAAGAAGCAAAACTAAATTTTTACTATTTAAAGCTCCTATTCAAACAGCTGATACTGTATGTTCAGTCGACAACACATCAGACTACACAATTATGTTGCAAAATAGCTCCTATTCCTGGTACTCAAGATGCGAAACTAATTTAGCTCGATGTATCATCGTCTATTCAAGCAAACCCTGTAAAATACTGTACCATTTATCTCAAAATAATATCAATTAATTTAATTTAAATTAATTCGTAAATTATGCAAAAATTGGTCATAACTAATTCGCCCTACATTCCGTAACGCCATAATACGTCGATTTAGAAAATTAAAATGTGTTATGTAAAATAGGAAGCCCACAAAATTTATTTCTTGACACAAATTGGACCAAATCTACGAAGCGATTAGTTATTCTAAGTTAAAACGGCCCTTTGTCAACAAATTACGCAACTTAGGCTGAGTTGCACCATCTTACTTTAACCGTAACTATAACCATAACCGGTGTTTTTATATGGAGTTTGACAGACTCTTGACTTTTGTTATAGCTAAAGTTATATGGTGCAACCCAGCCTAAGTTAAGATAAATAATACAACTTGGGCTGAAGATTTGTGAACTTGGCTTGAAATTGTATATTCATGGCACTAACAAGTTGTGAAACATTTTGAAAGCATTAATGGGATCCTCGATGTAATTAATGACATAAATATTTAGTAGTTCAACTACATAATAGACAAAATAGGTAAATGAATGATCATCAAGATTGCTACTACCATTTATTCATGGTTTTAGTGATCGTTACTAAGTATCATCATCATCGTTTCAGCCATAGGACGTCCACTGTTGAACATAGGCCTCCCCCAATGCTTTCCGTGTTACTAAGTATAGCACTTATTATTTATTCTGTGGTATAGGTGAAAGAATGCAATAGACCGACTTGAGATCTAAGAATACCAATTACCTAGGTTTAACAACTTCAATCATGTGGATCGTAAACAAGTGAAGTCAAATATAAAGCTTGTAAAATATCACCTATTTCATCGATCCTTTGCTTTTAAACTCTACCATCTGAAAGTCTCTAATAATTACTGCATAAAGCACTTTTTCGATCAGATTTTGAACTCTTGGGTAATAAGGCTGACGAGATTGACCTCGTTTGTTCATGGAGTGACATTTAGAGCTTTAAAGGCAATTTTGATGTCATAGTATCAGAAAACAATATTATTATGACTGTATTTGTGTGTTACATAAACTTTTTTCTAAAGCAATCCATGCCTTCGGAAACACGATCTGCCATCTAACAGGTACCATTTTGATTCCATGTTACCAACAACGTGCGTTTCAATACCACTCACCTATAAGCTGGGGCCCTTTTTCCTCACTGACTTTCCGTAGCAAATGGTCTCCCACATTTTCAAGTGCACACAACACCTCCCATATCCAACACTTTGAAACGGAACATTATCACTGAGCACTCATAGTTTCACTGCACGGGATAATTCAAAAACACTTCGGATCACTGCACTGAAATTGAATGTAAGTGAATCTGGAATCTAAATACTATGTGTAACTGTCAAATCTGGTCGCGTTTTGGTGGCGAGTTTGTCATATAGCGTTTGATGACCCCAAAAGCAACTTTACAACTGAACTGAGTGGTGGATGCAAAACGCACGGTTTCTCCTGCGCCAGCGCCGGTCGGTATGCGCCGCGGCTGTGTGCGTGTATCTGTGTAGGCGGACGCACACACGCGCGCGCGCAGGCTGCACGGTTTTTGTCGATGTCCACGGGGCAAGTAACCTTAGAGCGCAAGAGACGCAACTCGGAAAGACGACGGAGCTTTTTGTTGAGCTTTTGAAGTTTGTAATTTGATTAATGAAATATCTGCTTGTAAGAATTTTCTATGGATTTTTATAAACTTGACTTGGTTGTCTTATTAAAACCTATTCCAAAAATACTCAGTGGTCGATACGTTGAAAACAGTGTTGACATATTAAAATGGATAGGAAAAACAAAATAATTTATAGATTTAAATCTTTAATTTTATTTATTAATATCAATGTACAAATCTAACTTGGAAAGCATTAAGCGATAATTGAAAACGCTTAAGAATAACAGTATCTCGATTTTCAAGTTGCAACTCTAGTCTACTGCGGCGACGTTTTTCTGAAAGCTGCTGGTCGATGTCCCGCTACGAGACTCAAGCACAGTCGCGCCGTCCCTTTCTAACATTCGTTTGACCTTACATTAAAAAGAGACGGAGGTATAAGCCAAAGTTTACGATCACTTTGCAGAACTCGAAGTGGCCCTACTCAGGCATTATTAACGGCCAGAATTACGGTCGTTTTATGATAAACCGGTTGGTTTAAAAAGCTTTATAGAATCTAGACTTCATTAAGTGGATATGTCTCACTCTTCTTGGCCGGTTATGCGATGACTCTGTCGTGTATTTCAAGGGATAGCGGGCTGATTGGTTGAAGTATAGCTCTATTGATTAATTTCTCTTTGTGATAAATTGCCGTTTTTTGCCAATCGAGTTGTCAAATCTAATGGGTATGTCTAAAGTTTAATGTATGGCCATTCGCAATTAACACATTAGACATATTAAATTCATAACAAACAACAGGGAATAAATATGTCATATCCTGTTAGTAGTATACATTATAATTTAACATGGAAATCCCTAATCAGAATCTTATTTGAGTTTACGATTTCATTCGAACCATCTTAATTACTATTGAACTGTCAAAAGAATTAATGGCATGTCATTTTTAAGCGGCGATAAACCATCTCATGGAATTTCCAATAGTTTTAATTGTTAACTTTATTCTTAAAAACCTATTCATATGAGCAGAAATAACTTTTTTAATCCAGTCCTTAAATACAACTTCATTTTGTCATAATATGGTTTATTTATTGTCAGATATAAATCTTGAATCCAAAATTACATTCAAATTTTCACATCGAAATACATTAGCTAATTTATACAATTTAATGAATTGAAAATAACCCATTCAATTTGTCACCTTTAAATTCGGAGCGCTTATATTAAAGTCGTCGAGTTATATAATACTAGAGATCAAACCAATATGAGGCTGTCCAACAGAAAGCCTATAATTTGTTAAACCGATGATTTAAATAAAAACACTTGCGTAACATTATAACTGTGGTTTTATAAACCTAAGCTTTTTGTGAGACACCGCAGTAATTTCAATATTTATCAACAAGTTTTAAACTCTCGTGTTTTGCTTTTTGTTCTGACCACATCAGCAAATGTAAGTGCTCTTGAAATAAATGTTGTATAATAAATGTTTATTTTTCAATGATCGTTGGGATTATATGAGAATTATTGCTGGTAATGTTGTATTTGTAACCGCGAAACTGTCGAACAATTTCACTCTTTTTGGAATAACATAGTCAAATCGAAAAAAAACTTATTTGAAACATTAGTTTACATATTAAAAAGTAGTAAGTAAAATAAAACATAATTTTCGATCGCCTAATTTGTTCCTTGTAAAGTGCACTATTGCTTAATTTTTAAATTCTGAGTTCTCAGCCTACCTACCAACCTATTATTAAATATAATACTGAAATTAAATAACAATTAAATTGAATTCCATATAAAGCTACTGGAATTCAATTCTCATTTCAAAAACATTACTACCGCTCAAAGTTACATAACCGACAATCGAAGCATCAATGTCCGAGCAATTTACGTAAAGTCACAGGACTGCATTAGAACCAAAGCACACGATGCGTAAGATGCGTTGCGGCGCCGCACCGCTTGTGTGCCCGCCACAGTCAGAATATTTCTGTGTAAGACGATTAGTAAACGAAATAAAGTCGCTGACATAGCCCGACGGATTAGCAAGCTGAATGGCAATGGGCAGGGCACATAGTACGCAGAACTGACGGCCGATGGGGCAGCAAGGTTCTGGAGTGGAGGCCGCGTACCGGAAAACGCAGCGTGGGACGTCCACCCACAAGGTGGACCAACGTAGCAGGAAGGCGCTGGACGCAGGCCGCTACCAACCGGGCAACTTGGAAAGCATTGAGGGAGACCTATGTTCATCAGTGGACGTCCTATGGCTGAGATGATGATGATGATGAAGACGATTAAACGACAGCGACACCACTCCGGCGTCGCACCGCGCCGCAACGCATCGTGTGCTTCGGCTCTTACTCTCATGAATATCTATAACGAGCCTGCGCTTGCGCAGCGTAACTAGATCGTATTTGATGGACCGTAATATTTTAACATTAACATAATTTTCTTGCTCGCATAAGTATAGATTATTCGGTCTCTGTCGAGATTTGCCCTAGGCCTTTTTCGTGAATCCAGTCCCATGGCTTTGTTGATTAATTAAAATAAAAATAAATAATGTACTTGCGATAAGGAGAAATGCGCAACACAATAAAATTCAATAAACATTATGGTGGTATGTGTGCTATGGTAACAATGAACAGTTATTTTTGTAGACTTTTTTATACATATTCACGAAAAATTTATTCTGGAATAATAAAATTAAGATAAAATATCTGACGGTCAGACATTAACATAGCGCTAAATATTATGATACTCGTAAATAATTAAAAAGTCTGCAATTCCTGTGTTGTTGTTCGGGTTATATAGTAAAAGATCATACATAATATTATCTACTTACCTAATGTATACTAACTTAAAAATATTACCTAAACTACAAGTCAGGATGCACCTGACACACGTTGCCATTTTCCGGAATGTCCTCTAAATAATTTAAAAGAAGTTATTCAACCTCCGATGAAACTTTCGATGAATAATAATAAAACCGCTTGGGACATTCCTCTACATCCATTCGTCTCTCTCACGCGCACCATTCACCGTACGTGTGAAAGAGACAGCAAGAGCAAAGGAAGTGCTCCCTTATCGTTCATTCCGAGAATAACTTTCCCATAGATTGTGGAGGCAGAAGGGTTATGCTTTTGGAATGCAAAAAATATGCAAACGCGTACGTAATAGTTTGTCATAAATTCAGAATTGCCCGTGCAAATGCAAGTGTAAATATTTTCAAATAGAGAACACGTTTGTGAGAAATTGTAGAGATATCGGCAACGTTGTAGAGACCGTCTCGTAAATGGTGTGACTCATTGAATTCCCGTCACAACCGGTGGTCCGACATTTTTATAATGCTTAGGACATTTAATGACGTCATAAAAGGACCGCCTCGGGTAGGTTTTAGGGCATATTGTTGGAAAAGTAACGACAGTAAAATTTTCTTAATATTCTTCAAAATTTAAAACTTGTAATGAAAGGCAAATATTGAATATCAAGTCAGTTGTTGTTATTCAATTTTCTTAATACTGCCTCGAGGCAGTCAGAAATAAAATACAGGCTTATAAAGTTTGCTTGAACTGAAGAATTATACCTACTACTAGTACATCAATTGGACTCGTCCGATCGATGGTAATATGAGCGCAACATAAACACAGAACAGCCCGATGTAAAGACTGATATCGCGGACTTCTTTATTTCAAGACCCGTAATTAAATCTGCTCAGCTACTGCACTTCAGAGAGTCACAATGCAGTATGAACAGTAAGTAAAATTAATAAAAAAAACCGAAAACACAATGAAATCTGAGAATTTTAATTAATGCATCGTTAAACTTTATTTGACGGCCGATGGGGCAGAAAGGTTCTGGAATGGAGGCCGCGTACCGGAAAACGTAGCGTGGGACGTCCACCTACAAGGTGGATTGACGACATCGTAAAGGTAGCAGGGAAGCGCTGGACGCAGGCCGCTACCAATCGATCAACATGGAAAGCATTGGGGGAGGCCTATATTCAGCAGTGGACGTCCTATGGCTGAAATGATGATTGGTGGCTGAACTTTGATTCGTCCACTGCTGGAAGCCTGCCCCGCGGATTTCCACAATGACAAATACTGCGAATCCAGGTGCTTCCCGATACTTTTACCAGATGAATGCACAACAAACAGAACTTTGTGTGATTAGACAGATGAATGTGGAATAAAGGATTTCATTTAACACTACCGGCTGCCCGCAGTTTCATACGCGTGGATCCCGTTTTACCCTTTAAAATCCTGTTTTATTTTATCCTTTTTTAGCGGATGCCTACGTCCATAACATCTACGTGCATGCCCAATTTCAGCCCGATCCGTCCAGTGGTTTGGGTTGTGCGTTGATAGATCACTATGTCAGACAGTCAGTCAGTCAGACCTTTGAGTTTTTATATTTAGATTTTCATTCTAGTTTCAAACTAAGTTGCTTGTGCGTGAACCTTTTTCTATGTTGTGTAAATTCGTGTGTTCCATGTAGCCAAGATCAAGCTCACGAACTCTGTCATGGATAATTCGCAAAATCACAGCGCCATTGTCTATCGTTTTGCATTAGACCCAGGTTATAATCTATCTTGGCTATAGCAGAATAACAGGTTCTCCTGCAATCACTGAGTCATAGACTTTTTTGTCTCTTATGATCTTTGCTTCTGTAAAAAACTGTAAATGAAACCTGTTTTGAGACAAATAAATATTTTCTATTCTATTCTATAAGCCAATGGTAATTAACCTTTAAGTCACGGGGGACCATTTTACCAAATTTCTGTCTTGTCAGGGACAACTTTTTTTTTTAAATCCTATGAAAGGGGAGTTCGATTTCTCGCCCACTGTGCGCCGTTTGCGTTATCTTGACTCGACTC